TCGTTCCCCCTTTTGTGCTCGTGTCGTTGTCTTGGTCGTCGTCGTCCTCCTCGTCTTCCTCCTCCTCCAGATTTTGTGGGCTGGCACGTTTTTTCCCCTTCTTTCCTCCTCCCTCTTCTTTCCCTTTCCTGCCTTCCGTTTTCCGGGCCTCTGTGTCATATGTTCCCGGTTCCTTATTTTCTTCCTGCGCAATGCTATTGATCAGATGTTTTGTCTTTTTCCACTCGCTGTCATAATTACTGTCTGGTCTGAAATTTGAATATCTTCCTCCTGCGTCCTATTCCTCCTCCTCCTCCTCCTTCTCCTTCTCCTGCTCCTCCTCCTCCTCATCTTTGGGCGACGTGGGAGGTTGCGCGCTTTGAGGCGCTCGGGGGGTCTCAAGGTTCGAGCTTTGTGGCGTACGGGGTGTCATGCCCGCAAGTAGCCACGGAGCGGGCGTCCATGGGCTCACCGACTCCCCTTTGATGCTTCTTCGATCGCTCGCGGGCGAGCTTGCCGGGGCCCGCGGTGGCCGGTCTTCGCTCACTGTGTATGCTTGCGCTCCGAGGGACAGGTTGTACGATCCCGTTTTTGATGTGACGTGCCCGTTGGTTTGCAGGTCTGTCCTCCCCCCCCCTCCTCCTCCTCCTCCTCCTCCTCCTCCTCCTCGTCCTCCTCTCCTCCTCCTCCTCCTCCTCCTCCTCCTCCTCCTCCTCCTCCTCCTCCTCCTCCTCCTCCTCCTCCTCCTCCTCCTCCTCCTCCTCCTCCTCCACGGCCGCACCTCGCCCGGCCACCTCCGGGCGGCCCGCACGGCCATGAGGGACAAGCTGGAAGCCCAGGGGTCCTGGAAGATGTGCTTCGGCCGTATCTGTGCTGGGTTCAAAACGACGCGAAGATCGGGACAAAATCGGATCGGGATAACTCGAAATCTCTGAGAATCGGCGGGTTTGAAGGATGTAGTGGGCGCCGCGGCCGCTCCAGAGCGTTCCGGAACGCTCTGAGAGCGCTCCGGAACGCTCTGGAGCGATTTATCCCGATCCTAGCCTTGTTTTACCTGGAAGATGTGCTTCGGCCGTATCTGCGCTGGGCTGTTATCTCTTCAGAGGGTCGGCTGGGACATGGCGGCGCCCCATGTTGCTCTCGGACAGAGGTGAAGCGATCTTGCTGTACGAAGTGGCCCTTGCGGAAGTCCTTACCCTGCTCAGAGACGGAATTGAGCGCTGGTTATTGCGCCGCGGGCCTCACCATCTTCCCGAAGCGTCCGGCCAGGAGCCGATCTGGAGTCGGGCTTTGAGGCTTGGCGTGCTTTCTCTGCCCCCCAGGGCCCGCCAAGGTTCCATCAGGGCCCTGCTCTCAGGAGGTTCGTGATCACATGCTCGGAAGCGTGCGGCTGGCTTAGCTGAGTCCGCCAAGTGTTTTTCCTTTGACTGCGCGAGCGGGACCCTGGGCCACCAGCTTTTCGACTGCCCACTTGCATTCGAGTCTGGCGAAGGTCAGGCGGCGAGCGCTTTCCGGGAGCATAGGCAGGCGCTGCGGAAGAAGGGCATCTCCCCCCTCGGGCCTCCTGACTGGGATCGTGTTGACTTGATGTACGGGCTTCCCTCTATCCCCATCTCGATCCCGCCTCCCAGCAGCAGGCCGGCCGTGCGAGTTTGGGCCTTGACCGATGTCGAGTGTGGCCCTGTGCTGTTTACGGATGCTTCAGGGCTTGCTAGCGCAGTGCCTGAGGCCACGCGCTGTGGATGGAGCGTCGTCGACATTTCTCCAACGGGTGGCCGTTGAGGGCCAAATTCGGGGCGCTCCCTGGTCGGGTCCAGTCCGCCCCCAAGATCTCACGATACTTAGTGATCACGTGTCTTTTGTCCGTGAAGGCGAGTGGTGGGATCCCCGCCAGGCTTGCGGCATGGCAGCACACGTTGCGCTGTGGCGCAAGATTCTTATGCTTTGCTCCGACCGCCCGTGGTCTCGCTTCGTTTGGGCTCCCGCGCATCGGTCGCTTGAAGGGTTAATTGAAGCTGGCGCCTCGGCGGAGGAGCTCTGGCGGTTTATGGGCAACGCGTGGGCCGGTCTCTTTGCCAAGCTCGGCGTACAAGACGCCGAGGTAGCCGAAATTGCCGCGTCTGCCTTGGAGTCCTTGGTGGCCGGGTGTAACAATTCGTTTGGTTTTTTGGCGCGGGTTGTCCAGATCATCTGTGCTAAGCCTGAGTGCGCCAATGCTGCCCCTGCCCGGCGTGCGGCGGCGGTGCCTGCAGGCTCGAGGATCGTGGTGATGGCTCGCGATCCCGTTCCCCTGGGCCCTGCTGGCTTCCTTCGGTGCGGGCGCTGCCTGGCCGTGGCCAGGACCCCAGCCAGTGCCACGAGCTTGTTGAAGCCAGGGGCCAGGAGTGACCCGCTGCCTATGCTTGCCGCCCTGGCCGCGGCGGCCGAGCGGCTAGGGTGGCGTAGCCTAAGGGGGGACGGTCCTGCTGCTGCTGCTGCTGCCGTGGCCGGGGGTGTTGCTGCTGCTGCTGCTGCTGCTGCTGCTGCTGCTGCTGCCGTCGGGGCGGTTTGGAGTTGGACTGGTTTGGGATGTGACGCCCATAAGGTCAAGCGTTCGGGCCTTCGGGTTCCTTTGTTTCGCTCGGCCCTTTGGGGCCGTCGCCTCTGGTGGCCGTCGGGTCCGCCTGCTTCTCGCTCCGCCGGGGCTGGCTTTACTCCCCCCAAGTGCGTAGGCGGACCCCGCCATGCGTGGCAGGGGGCACAAGCATGCCTCGTCTCATTAGCGTCCCTCAGCGTCCCTCCTCCTCCTCCTCCTTCTCATCCTCCTCCTCCTCCTCCTGCTCCTCCTCTTCTTCCTCCTCCTCCTCCTCCTCCTCCTCCTCGTCCTCCTCCTCCTCCTCCTCCTCCTCTCCCTCCTCCTCCTCCTCCTCCTCCTCCTCCTCCCCTCCTCCTCCTCCTCCTCCTCCTCTCCTCCTCCTCCTCCTCCTCCTCCTCCTCCTTCTCCTCCTCCTCCTCCTCCCCCTCCCCTCCTCCTCCTCCTTCTCTTCCCTCCCCCCCCCTCCCTCCCCCTCCTCCCCTTCAGTCCTTGCTCACTTCTCCCTCCTCCTCCTCCTCCTCCTCCTCCTCCTCCTCCCTCCTCCTCCTCCTCCTCCCTCCTCCTCCTCCTCCTCCTCCTCCTCCTCTCCTCCTCCTCCTCCTCCTCCTCCTCCTCCTCCACTCCTTCTTTCTCCTGCTCCTTCTTCGTCTCGTCTTCCTCCTCCTCCTGCTCCTCCTCCTCCTCCTCCTCGTCTTTCTCTTTTTCCTCCTCCTCCTCCCTCCTCCTCCTCCTGCTCCTCCCCTCAGTTTTTCCTCACTCCCTTCTCCTCCTCCTCCTCCTCCTCCTCCTCCTCCTCCTTCTCTTCCTCCTCCTCATCTCATCCTCATCCTCATCTCCCCCTCCTCCTCCTGCTCCTCGTTTCCTCTCCTCCTGCTCCTCCTCCTCGTCCTCCTCCTTCTCCTCCTTCTCCGCTCCCCCACCCCACCCCCCCTTCTCTCCCCGGCACCCCCTTCCCGCCCACGTCACCTCCGTCCCTCCGCCCCATTCGCAGCGGACGGAGGCCCGCGACCACTGCGAGCGGGGCGCGCGCTGGACCAAACTAGACAGCGCAGGGCTCCCTGAGATCCGACGCTGGGAAAGAATCCAGCAGCGCGAAACATGACGCCCGGAACTCAAACCAACTCTTCCTGCTGCGTATTTCTTTCGAGCAGGATCGATCTGTGATGGTCCCCGGGGGCCCGCAGCCGGGCGAGAACGATTGCGCAGTGTGACCAAAGAATGCAAGGCCCAGATCTCAGGCCTGCGTCTGGCCAGCCTCCTCCTCCTCCTCCTCCTCCTCCTCCTCCTCCTCCTCCTCCTCAAACCCTCCTCCTCCTCCTCCTCCTCCTCCTCCTCCTCCTCCTCCTCCTCCTCCTCCTCCTCCTCCCCCGCCCAGGAGGCGCCCCACGGAAACCTCTTATCCGCCGGTGGCCCCGGGGGCCCACAGCAGCTTTGGGGAACCTCAGGACCCTCAGAGATCTACGAAGAGTGTGTTTCTAGATCTCTTACAGCAGGATTTCTCGTTGCATGTGTCTACTGTGCCAGGGCTGACCCTCCCGAGTTCAGCTCATCTGTTGCCGGATATTTACCGTACCACTCTGGACGAACCGGGCGTGACCGAAATCCGGCCTCCAGGCGCGAATTCCGGCAACGAGCGAGCCGTCGACATCTCCGAAACCTTCGCTGGGACGCCGACGTGCTGTAACTCTCGTGACCGCAATATTCGGCTCATTCTGGTCGCGTCCGAAATTTAGCGTGGCCGAAATTCGTCACCGAATTACTCTCCCTCTCTCCCTCTCTCTCGAGGGTCAGAGTGGCCCACGACGCGCTCGAACTCACTTTGGCGGCGTCCGCGCCCGAGCATTTTGTGTTCTGGGTGGTCGGGGAGACCCAGAAATCAGCGGCATCGTAGCGGGTACTCACAAGCGGCTACTTTGGAAAATTGCCGGAAAGTGCCACTCTACGAAGGGCCTGTTTCTGGCATTGCAGCGTTGCCCACGTCGGGGAGTCTTGGCTTCGTTGGGTCACTGGCCAAAGTGCCCGTCAGTGGAGTCCCCGTTAGAGGGGCGCTGAAGGAAGACAACCGTCGGGCTGGGCGGATGCGGTTCGGAGAGATGACCAGATCATCCCTATTGTCGTGGATGCTGGCAATGCTTTTTACACAGTCGTGCCCCGTGTCTTCTGGGAGGCCGCTGCCGCTCCCACGCGAAGCCCTCCTCCTCCTCCTCCTCCTCCTCCTCCACTTTTTCCTCCTCCTTCGCCTCCTCCTCCTCCTCCTCCGTCCTCCTCCTCCTCCTCCTTCCCCCCCTCCTCCTCCTCCTCCTCCTCCTCCTCCTCCTCCTCCTCCTCCTCCTTCCTCCTCCTCCTCCTCCTCCTCCTCCTCCTCCTCCTCCTCCTCCTCCTCCTCCTCCTCCTCCTCCTCCCCACCCATCTTTCTCGGAGACCGGGCCCGGCCAGCCCCGCCCAGGAGTTGCGCTGCAAGGAGGGCCAGGAGGTGGCGCTCTTCGGGCTGCCCCACGCCGAGGCCGACGTGCCCCTGTGGCCCGCGCCGGGCGACCGGGCGTGAACACTTCGAATCGAGTCGAGAGCCTCGAGACGGGGGTCAGCCAGGGCACCGGATCCTGCAGGATCCTGCGAAGTTCCCCTCTGGCTGACCCGGGTCAGGGAGCCGCTCGTGGCCGCGAGGCGGCCGCGCATATTGGCTGACCCGGGTTTGCGAAGACCTGCGCTGCCTTTTTTTACCTAACAGCTTGTTCTGATAGGTTTCTAGTGGTGTCAAAAGAGAGCAGCAGATGACTCCACAGGGGGGTCTGGGCGGGTGCCGGACAGGGTGCCGCAGAAGTCGTTTTAAGCCAACAGTCACACACTTCGTGCTCTTCGACCTCCCAGAACTCCATTCCCGGGCCACATTCTGAATGCCCGGAGCCAACTGTAGGCCACTTCGTGCTCTTCGACTTCCCAGAACTCCATTCCCGGGCCACATTTTGAATGCCCGGAGCCAACTGTAGGCCACTTCGTGCTCTTCGAGTTCCCAGAACTCCATTCCCGGGCCACATTTTGAATGCCCGGAGCCAACTGTAGGCCACTTCGTGCTCTTCGAGTTCCCAGAACTCCATTCCCGGGCCACATTTTGAATGCCCGGAGCCAACTGTAGGCCACTTCGTGCTCTTCGAGTTCCCAGAACTCCATTCCCGGGCCACATTTTGAATGCCCGTAGCCAACTGTAGGCAACTTCGTGCTCTTCGACTTCCCAGAACTCCCATTCCTGGGCCACATTTTCAGCAGGGGCAAGAGCACGACGAGGAGGAGGACGAGCAAGACCAGGAGGACGAGGACGAGCAGGAGCAGGACGAGGAGCAGGAGGAGCAGGAGAAGAAGGACGAGCAGGAGGAGGAGGAGGACGAGCAGGAGGAGGAGGACGACCAGGAGGAGGAGGACGACCAGGAAGAGGAGGAGGAGGAGGAGGAGGGGAGGGGGAGGACTACCAGGAGGAGGAGGAGGAGGAGGAGGAGGAGGAAGAGGAGGAGGAGGAGGAGGAGGAGGAGGAGGAGGAGGAGAGGAGGAGGAGGAGGAGGGGGGGGGAGAGCTGCCTTTTCGTCGAGATGCTGTTCGACCCAGAGATGCTCCTACACATGGCTGTTAGGTTGCTTTGCCGGGATAATTTTTCCTGCATTGCAATGTTTGGTTTCCTGCTGACCCGGGTCTGGATTGACCCGGGTCAGAAGATCCCCGATCGAGGCTCCATTGATCCCAGACATCGTGCGTCTCGAGATCCTCGACGACGACGACGACGACGATATTGGGTCTGCGCATGCGCTTTCCCCGCAGAAGCGCTCGGCAGGAGAATCCTGTCTGCTCGCGCGGCCCCGCGCAGTCCCAGAGCGCGGGGGCGCGGGGCCCAGACATCGGGCGTCTCGGAAAAAATCGAGACAACAGTTTTTCATGGGGTGGGTCGTGGGGGGGGTCCCGGGGTCCCGGGTTTGTCGCGGGGGACGACGACAGCAATAGACCAGACAATAATAAACAACAGCAAACAGCAACAAACATGCAGAACAATGTCAGCTTGTATTTAACCAATGAGGCCCACCCCCCCGGGCTGATGAATAGACCTCGCGGGGCGCGAAACAAATTTTGCTATCGCGCACGCCAGGGGGTCGTCGCGGGCGCCGTCGAGGGGATCGTATACCGTATACCCCCCTGCACGGCAGCCTCATAATGATTGCCCTTCATATAGAAGTTGAGATAGGGATCGCATACATGCGACGCGAAGTGTTTTCCTCTTGTCAGGCTGATTTCTCACGTATCACAGTCGTCGTCGTTGCCGTTGTCGTCGTCGTTGTTGACTGCAGCGGGCCGGGCCTACAAAGCACACACACACACACACACACACACACACACACACACACACACACACACACACACACACGCAGTGCGTCGTCGTCGCCGCCGCCGCCGTCGTGTCGTCATCGTCGTCGACGACTACAGCGGGCATGCGAAGCACACCCGCCCCCCCCCCCTGGAGTGTCCGCAGTGCGTCGTCGTCCGCCGTCGCCGTCGTCATCGTCGTCGTCGTATGACTTTGTACTGGAGAGGGGAGGGAGGGAGAAAGAGAAAAACGAGCCCTTTTCGCCTGCCTCTTCCGCTCGTCCCTTTCTCTTCTTTTTCTTGTTTGTAGCCATGTCGGCACCGCCCCCCAACCGAGGCTCTTTCCCCCGTCTCCTCTTTCTCTCCACTGTAGCCATTCTGGCCAGACCGCCCTGCTATATCGGACGCGCTGCTGTCCCCCTCCGCTGACTTGCGTCGCGCGCCCGTCGCCCTCCTGCAGACGGCCTGGCGCCGGCACTGATCATTGGCGCCGCCGCCGTGTATTTCAGTTTGGCTGGCACCCCCTTTCGCGATTTGCCCGAGCAGAGGAATCATTGTTTGAATCATGTGCTCACCAGGATTTTATGCGGACACGCATGTACTCCTACTTCACCCGCGCACCCGGGGATGGTGCAAGATCGTTCTTCTCCCGCCGTTTGATTTGACCTACCACATTGGTTAACCGATTGACCATGTGTATTCGGCCGTGCGTGCCACAGCGTGGGCGCGAACATGATCACGCAAAGGTTGCGCTGGGCGCGTTTGTTCAGGATGCGCCCGAGAGGCCTACCGTGGGGGACCCCTTACTTTTATGAGGGCGGCTGTGATGCCAATGGCCAGCCACTCCACCATTGGAATCCCACCGGCTTCCAAGGCCTACAGTCGGGGCCCTGATGAAGGAACCCTTTTGGTTGGGGAGGGGCTCCGCGTTCCTTAAGCGTTTCACAGTTTGCCTCAGGTTTTCCTTTTGTTTTCGATGGGGAATCGAAGTTTGACTTATGGAAAAAAGGGGCCTCGTTCCTTCTTTAGGGTTCCTTAGATCAACGCCCCGACTGTAGTTTCATTATCCGACGTTTCCTTCTCCAACACCCTTACCGCGCCGAGCTCGTGGGGCGGGCCGTCGCCGTCGTGTCGTCGTCGTCGTGAATGCATGCATGACCACGTGGGTTCGCCTACTCGAAGAGTTAAAAAAACACCCTAACCGTATGAGTCCAAACCGAAAGCCTGCGCGCGCGGGCCTCGCCGGCGCCGTCTGCGTCGCCGCCGCCGCCGTCGCCTGTCGTGGGCGCCCTCGACGTCACCGCGCCGTCACCGCTCGAGGCTCTCGGGCGCTTCCCTTGGCTCCTGGAGGTTTCCTCGCTTCGGGGCGCTGTCGTGCAGCTGGCCCGCGCCGAGGGCGATCCGGGCGCGACCGGGGTCGCCCCGATCGGCCGCTGGAGTCCCGAGCTGCGCGGCCCTGCTTTTCTTGGGGCACGCCGACGAGGCTCGGAGATGATCGGGCTGCGCGCGGCGTGGGCAGCCCGATCATCTCCGAGCCGCCCTCGCAGCCCCCCCCACAATGGAGTAGATTGTTGATCTTGGCTGTTTTGGGCGCCTGTTTCGAGCAGGTGTAGCCTCCCCCGGAGTGGACGCATTGCTGCAAACAGTCTCACTGAGCAGAGGTCCGGAGCCAGACCGCCCCATCCCCCCCTCCCCCCAGACGCCCTTTTCCAGGACGGCCCCGCGAGAGCGCGGGGGCCTCCTCGGAGGAGCGCGGGGCGCGGGACGCGAAACTGGGCGGTCCGGGCTTCGCGCCGCTGGGAACCGAACGGGGCCGGGATTGAGTTAAGCAGGTCCCTCCGCAGGAGGAGTATTCCAAAATAGTCAGAACAAATAGTCAGGGGACGGTGTTTCTATTATGTTTGGCATGCTTTCATTTTCCTGGAGGTATTTTTAATTCATGTTCGTCCAACATGCGCCTGTAGGGGGACCTGCCCGACCGAAGGCTAGGACGGGGATAAGTCTGTTCCAGGGCGTTCAGGATCGCTCGCAGAGCGTTCCGGGACGCTTTGGGAGGGCCGCGGCGCCCGAAAAACCTCCCAGAGCCGGCGGATCTCACCCGATTTCCCAGACTTTGCCTTAGTCCTGCCTTCGTCATAGGAAAGCTTCGCCGCACGGGTCTCCGCCACTTTCGGCTTTTGGCGGGGGGGGCATGGGCAGCCGGCGCCCGGCGGGGGAGGGGGGGCGAGGGGGGTCCAAACCTTTTGGGCGGTTGTGTTGTGAAGAGAGCACGGCGTCGGATTTTCCAGACGGTTTTTCCCGCCGAGTCCCGAGCTCCGCCCGAAAAGCTTGGCGCCCTAGGAGAAGGGGGAAACCCTGGGATACACCCCCAGAGGGCTATTCGGACGCACCCCTTATCGAGGACGGACGCCCGCCCGCGCCCCTAGCACTGTACGTCCCAGGGTTGAGCCTCAAATTTCTGGCCCATTCGAAGCACCACGCTAAGCCTGGGACGGAGGGCGACATATCCCCTGTTGGGACGCTGGTGCGTCGTCTCGCCGCCCCTCGAGCGCGACGTCTCCCCAGTTGGCTCCGATGCGCTTCGCGCGAGGGCCCCTCGCGCCGCGCGCTTTCGCTCCCCCCTTCCGCGTTCAGCGGCGTGCGCCGCGGCAGGGCGCCCGCCCCTTTTCTTTTTTCAAGCCCCCCTGAGGCGCGCCCGCCCTGTTTTGGTGTAGCATGCCTCGCGGGGGCGGCAGAGGCAGCACGTAGCATTCAGAGCACAGGCGTTCGTCTCGTGCCACCCTGCCACCGCCGCCGCGCCTGCAGCTGCGACGCCGCGCCCCGTCGTCGCCTGCCGCTGCTTGGACCCCGGCGGCCGCTGACAACGGAGTCCGGGTCTGTCGTCGTCGCCGGCCGGAGGAGGATAAAAGGGGGGAGAGAGGAGCCCTCCTAAACCCTGCGTGCGTCCGTGCTCCCACACGTTGGCGCGCGGAGCAGGGGGGTCGGCGGCACGAGGGGCGCAAAACACGGGGGTGCGCGCGCCGCCGCGCACCATGAGACAGTCCTTCTCTTCCTCCTCTCGTCTCCTCCCTCCCCCATGTCATTCGAGTCCTCCCTGCCCGCGTCCTTCCCCGAAAAGGGCGCCCGCCCGCCTCGCTCACCCTTTTTGGTCCACCGCGACGTCTTCTCCCTCTCCCTTTTGCCTCTTCTGCACGAGGTGGGGGGCATCCGAGTTCCATGCGTCGGTCGGCCGTGAAGCGCGCGGCAAACGTGCGAAACCACAGTCCGCGCAGATCATTACTCGAAGTGTGAGAGAGCGTGATCCACCGCCGCTTTACTGTGGAAAATTGCCGCCCTTCCTCCGGAACCCGGGGATCCCTCCCCCCCCTCCGAAAATCCCCCCCCCCTGCTGGACCCCCCCCCCCTTCCCCGGCAAACCCCCCCCCTCCCCTAACCCCCCCTCCCCCCCCCCTCGAACTCGAAAACCGGGGGGGGTCACTACCGGTTCGAACCCCCCCCCCCCTCGAAAACCGGAGGGGGGGGTCACTACCGGTTCGAACCACTGAGCTGTCCCACTGTTCCCACCACTGTCCCCACTGTCCCTACCACTGTCCCCACTGTACCTCTGTCCCATTGTCCCACCGCCGTCCTCGCCACCGCCTTCACCACTGTCCCCACCACCACTGTACCCTCCACTGTCCTACTGTTTCCACCACATTCCCACTGTCCCCACACCACTGTCCCCACCACCACCGTCCCCACCACTGTCCCACTGTCCCCACTGTCCCCACCATTGTCCTCACCATTGTCCCCACCACTACCGTCCCCACCACTGTCCCACTGTCCCCACCACTGTCCCGCTGTCCCCTCACCACTGTCCCCACCACCACCGTCCCCACCACTGTCCGCACCCCCCCTCGGTTTTCGGGGGGGGGGGGGGTTCGAACCGGTAGTGACACCCCCGGTTTTCGAGTTCGAGGGGGGGGGTTCGAACCGGTAGTGACCCCCCCCCCTTTCATGATGATCTGGGGGGGGGGAGGGGTTCGAACCGGTAGTGACCCCCCTGGTTTTGGGGAGGGGGGGGAAGGGTTCGAACCGGTAGTGACCCCCCCCCGTTTTCCGCCAGCAGCGGTAGAACACGCTCTGTCCGAAATGTAAATCCCTAATTTGCGCATCTGCATTTAAGCGCGTTCCTCTGTGAGTGTCCCGGGGAAGCGCGAACGAGTTTGAATATGCGCGACTGAGTGTGACTGAGTCTGGGCGGAACTGACTCTGAGCTAAAGTGGCCAGGTGCGGTTGGATGTCACCATGGGCGGGTCCACGTGTAAGTGGTTGTTGTATACGAATGTGTGTGTGTGTGCGTGTGTGTGTGTGTGTGTGTTGTGTGTGTGTGTGTGTGTGTGTGCGAGCGAGTCTGAGTTCGGATCTCCATATGAGTGTTTGGAATCTGCATGTATCCCCCTGGCTGGGCCTGGACATGCATGGGTATGGATGAAGATGGGTCTGGATGAGTGCCCTCGAGACTGAACGCTCGTACGTGAATGGGCATGGGCGCGAGTGCGACAGCAAATGCGTGTGGCCGCATAAGAAGAAGTGTGGGCACCAGCTTGCTTGAACGTGATTTGGTCCGCCTCAACAATATACACACAGACACCCTTCACTAGATTGTTCCAGGGCCTCAGGGGAGAATAGCTGTGTACAAATCACTTCTGGGAGCCAACGACATTATACACCGTTTCTTCTTTGAAAGTACACGCGACGTTCGTCGGAGGGCGTAAGTGTGTATACATACATATCTATGTAGAAAAATAGATGTATGTATGTACATATGTCCGTGGCGCAAGTGGTTACAGGTCGAAGAAGTCGGGCAATGAGCGCAGGGGCCCTGCAATCTGGGCGCTTGAGATCGTTTCGGGAATGGGTACCTTAGCGTTAAGTCGGGCATGTCCCTCTACAACAGGAGTACGCAAAAATAGTGAAACATTGTGAGGTGACAATTATCCGTACTTTTTTTGGGCTATTCCTGACCATATTGACTATGTTCCATGCTTTTTCCAAACCTCATAGGTGGGAGGACCTAACTTTACTGCTATTCGTGTTTGTTGGGTATTCTCGCACATCCCGGGAGGGGTATCGTTGGATGTTCTGTGCGCTTCGGCCGGCGGAGGGTCTCATGCTCTTGCGACATGTTTTCCTGGCCGAGGTCCGACTGCACATCGCGGCGATCATGGGCTATGGGAAGAGAAGCATATGTCTCCCGAAGCGGGCGTTTCGCTCAAAAGGTCCCCGCCATTGGGGGCGCGAACGGACTGTTGACGGCTCGCCCTTGGGAGGCCGAGGTGCAGTGCCTGATGCGACGCAGGGATCTTGTGGCATGGAGAATGGGCGCCCATTTGCCGAGACGGGCGCTTCATTGGAAACGTCCCCGCCGTCTTGGCGCGAATGGGCCCGTGTCGTGCTCCCTGGCGGCTACCCCTCGGGATGTCTGTGCGCAGCTCACGCGACATCGTGGTTATCATGGGCCTCGCAGGGAGAAGCCTCCGTTTGCCCGGCGCTGGCGTTTCGTACTCGAGGTCTCCGCAGTCTGCGCTCGAACGGGCACTCTGTTTATCCCCGCCTGGCGGCTCGAGAAGAACACACTTCCCCAGCTGAAGGTTTGCCCCCCCCCCCCCCCCCCCCCCCAGCAGAAGGGTTGCTTCCTTGCCGATATTTCACCAGCAGTATTCCTATCAGTTTTCTGACAGTCTTGAGAGCTTCCCAAGCCTCCTCGGAGTCTCGTGGGAACCTCAGAGCTTTCCGATCGCCTCCTAAGCCTCCGTCGTAGAGGTCTCCTGGGACCTTCCTGGGGCCCTTGAGGACCGTCTTGTGTCTATCGTCGGCTGTATTGGGGTCCTCTTGGGACGTCTTGGGGGTCTCTTGGGAACACCTTGCGCCGTATTTGGTGCGCGAAGCAGGAGGAGAGGGGAATCAGCAGCGTGTGACACCCCGCCAACATAATTCGAGGAACTAGGCACGACATACTCATATAGATGTTCGGAGCTGCGCGCGGATTTCTCGGATCGGCGTTGCGTCCCCCTGGCGGCGCCTCCAGCGCCGACCTTGGGGCGCTCCGCGCGCCAGGGGCAGGGGTCCAGCGCGGAGTCGAGAAGTCCTCGCGGACCTCCACAAGCTTGTGTGTATGACGTTTCGTACCACCCACCAAACCACCCCAGCCCCGCCCGAAGGCCCCACATTGCCTTCCATTCCCAGTGGGGGGGGGCGGCGGTAACATGGAAAACAAAGTGTATGGAACCCGAAGTTTGGGTCTACAGGTTGGGTTGGGCTGGTGTGGTAGGTCGTACGTTTCTTGTTCCTCGGAGGACGGGGCGGAGGAAACGGAGAAGAGCGTTGTCGAGGATGGGGAGCGGGCGCGGGCGCGGGCTCTGATACGGAGGAGGATGGGGAGGAGGAGGAAAAGGAGGAGGAGGAGGAGGACCAGTGTTAACCCAAGAGCCATCAGCGATGTTTGAATCAGCCCTCCTTTAAGCTCCCTCTTCAAATGCCCCTACAACGGTTCATTCCCACTGAAGGAGCTGCCTCGTTGGAAGACAACCGTTTGGTGACCCTGAAGAACGCTAAAACATTAGCATCGGGACTCCAACGTCACGGATCGACTTGATTGTTGCGTCTTGACGGTCCTGAACCGCGCAAAAACGCCATTTTTGCGAATTCAGCACAACGAATCAACGTAATTGTGGCGGCTTCACAATCCTGAATCTTTCCAGGGCACCATTTCGGGTACGCTGATAACGGGAATCCGTGTGAAACCTCTGAAATTTGTTACAAGGAATGTGCGTGGCGCTACGGCGAGAGCCACATGTTTAAAAGGAACCGCCCTGAATCCGTCAAACTCTAGGACATTTTGAAACATAATGTGCGCGGCGCTTAGGCGACAGCCACATTTTGAACACGACCCGCCACCAATCCGTGAAACCTTTGCAATGTGTTAAGAATGTTCGCGGCGATACGGCGAGAGCCATATTGTGAAAACGACCAGCCCTCAATCCGTGAAACACCTGCATCATGTGAAAACGAATGCGCACGGCACTAAAGTAAGAGCCACATTTTGAAAACCACCCGCCCTCGATCCGTGAAACGGATGCCACTTTTAAAAATGAATGTGCGTGGCGCTTTGGCGAGAGCTACATTTTGAAAACAACTCGCCCCCAATCCGTGAAACTCGTGCAATATGTTGCAACGTATGTCCGCGGCGCTAAGGCGACAGCCACATTTTGAGCCACATTTTGAAAACGACCCGCCCGCCATTTGTGGAACTGTTGCCATAATTTAAGCTTCAGGGCCATAACTAGCCCGCCCTAAAATCTTGCCTCGGGGTGCGACAGGGAGAAGCGTTTTATCAGAAGAAGGAATGATGGAGGAGGGGAAGCGGAGGAGGAGGAGGAGGAGGAGGAGGAGGAGGAGGAGGAGGAGGAGGAGGAAGAGGAGGAAGAGGAGGAGGAGGAGGAGGAGGACCAAAAGGAGGAGGAGGAGCAGGAGGAGGGGGAGGAGGAGGAGGAGAAGGAAGAGGAGGAAGAGGAGGAGGAGGAGGACCAAAAGGAGGAGGAGGAGGAGCAGGGAGGAGGAGGAGGAGAAGGAAGAGGAGGAAGAGGAGGAGGAGGAGGAGGAGGAGGAGGAGGACCAAAAGGAGGAGGAGGAGGAGCAGGAGGAGGAGGACCAAGAGGAGGAGGAGGAGGAGGAGGAGGAGGAGGAGGAGGAGGAAGAGAACGACGACGCCGACCGCCTCAAGGCGAGGCCGCGCAGCCTGCCATCGTGCCCCCTGCGGCCTGGCCCCGCACGCCGCCACCGGAGCCGCTCGCCGGCGCCCTGGCATCCGGGCGGGTGCTTTCTGGGCGTGGCCGAAGGGGGGGTGAAGAGAGGCCCGCAAAAGGGCCCTTTCTTACCAGCCTCGAACTTATCCCTATCCCTAAGATGGACACGCCAAAAGGCGATGACAATCTTAGGGGGTCGCCCTCAAAAAATAAGGGAATCCCTATGATTGGCATCGTCATGAGGAGGTGCCCAGCATAGGGATAGGGATATGTTCCAGGCTGGCAACTTTCGGGCCCCTGTTTGGAGCCAGCTGGCGCCCAGAACGGGCCCCGAAGGGCCCCTCTTTGGGGGCGCTGCTCTTCACCCCCCCCACTTCCCTGACCTTCCAGAGAGCTATTTTTTAGCACTGGAGGCCTAAAAACCTAAAACACTGCACGAAACAGCCTAGAACCAAGACGTAGAATAGCTCTGGGATGCGTTTTTAGGTCGGGTGCTATTTTTTTGCCCTCATGGAAGGTCAGGGTTGGGCCACCCCCCGATACCACCCGCCCGAGGCATGCGAGGGCGCAGATCCGCAGCTGGAGGACGGCCAGTTCAGGAGGCCCGCCGTCGCTGGCCTCGTCGGCGTCGTCGCCACCGCCGCCGCCGTCGCTGGCGTCGTGGGCCCAGGCCCCCTCGAGCCATGGGCAGATCACGACGGAAGGTTTTCGCTATCTTCGGCCTTGGGGGTCCTCACTGGGCCTCGGGACGTCAAACAATAGTCAGCGGGCGAAGAACGGTATAAAACCAACTTTTTCGCCGTCGGCGACACCTGCCCCTGGGCGGCTGGAAAGTTTATACCCCTACGGTGCCACCGTCAGGGTATAAACTTTCCAGCCGCCCTGGGGCAGGCGCCCCCGACGGCGAAACAGTTTATGTCATGCCGTTCTTCGCCCGTTAAAATATAACGAAAAACCGGCCCCAGGGAATGGATCGGGACGTCGGGGCGTCGACGCTGTGCACAAAGCAAGCGGCACGCGTGCCCTGGTTCTGGCACCAGGGAGCTGCGGGGGACGGGAGGCTTTCGCCTCCCTCCTCCAGGAGTTTCTTTTCGTAGCCGGGGGGGGAGAGGACGAACGATGAACGAACGAACGACGACGACGAAAAGAAGGAGGTCCGAGCTCTAGAACACAGCTGTGCAAGAGGATGATGACGCCGGGGGTCTGGGGGCCCAGAGATCCGACGTCGTGATTTTTCCATACGCGGTCCCCGGAAGTCTCGACCCATTCCCCAGACCCCCTCGAGTAATGAAAAAATCATGACGGGAGGTTTTTCCTAAGTTTCGGCCTCCGGGGGCCCTCACCGGGCCTTGGGAGCGTCAAGAAACGACTCAGGATGCAAAACCGGTCCCGGGGAATGGGTCGAGATCTCTGGGGGTCGACGTCATGAAAAAATCATGACGTCGGGGGTCTGGGTGCCCAGGACCCGGTTTTCATCCTGAGTCGTTTTTTGACAGTCCCGAGGCCCGGCGAGGGCCCCTATAGGGGCCGAAATTTGCGAAAAACCTCCGTCTTGATTTTTTTAATACGTTGGATCTTTGGGGGCGTCGCCGCGGCCGGCGTCCTGGCAAGCGAGGGCGCAGAGCCGCAGGCGGATGACGGCCAGCGAAGAGGAGCCGGCGGCGCCCCGGCGGCGGCCCCGTCGCGGGGGGTGGTTCCCGCTGTTCGGCCGCCGGGGGCCCTCGCTGGGCCCCAGGACCGTCCAGGGTTGGTTTCGATTCCTCCGATCCCAGACCCCCTCGAGTAATGAAAAAATCATGACGGGAGGTTTTTCCTAATTTTCGGCCTCCGGGGGCCCTCACCGGGCCTCGGGAGCGTCAAAAAACGACTCAGGATGCAAAGCCGGTCATGGGGAAAGGGTCGGGACCTCTGGGGGTCGACGTAATGAAAAATCATTACGTCGGGGGTCTGGGATTCGATTCCAGTCCGCGTCCGACTGGACTCCGATGTGATCCCTGGTTCCGCAATGGGGGCCATAGTAGCCTGCCGGTTTCCGCCGATGCGAGTTCTCCCAACTTGGCTGCCCACTTCCGCCGATCCGATTCATTTCGATCGCCGATTCGACTTGTCGATTCGATTTTGGGCTCTCCCGCCGTCCACAGAAGCGACCCGGGATGCGAGACCAGTCCTGGGGAATGGGTCGGGCCTCCCGTGGCTTCAAGCGGCAGCGGCCCGCCGCCGAAGAACATACTGCAAGCTTGGGTTTTGAAACGCATGCATAGGCGTCGCTGGGTGGCGCGGGGGCCCGTCGAGGCAAAAGATTGCATCAGCGTCCGCTGCTCGATGTCCGCGCGGGTGTCCCAGGTCGGGGCTTCTCCCTCCCCGGCGGCGCCTCTGGCACCGCCCCCAGCGCGCGCGCGCTCGGCGCGCCAGGGAGGGGGGCCGTGCGCAGAGCCAAGGAATCCGCGCACACCTCGGGCAGCTTCTGGTTATGTGTTCTCTTGTTGCTCTTCTGGCAGCGGCTGCGGCCAGCCCTCCAGCCCTCTGTGGCAGGTTTCGTTTGCTCTTCAAAGTTGTCTAGCCTCGCGGTGCCCTCCTGCAACTGCGCCTCGCCGAGAGCGTTCCGCGGTTGCACTGGTCGTCCCGAACGGCGCTGGAGACCCGAGTCATGACCCGAACGCTTGGCTTGTGCGCGCCGCGAGGGAGGCACGACGGAAGACTTTTGAAGCAGTGGTCGGCCCTTGGAAAGGGGCCTTCGCCAGGCCCCAGGGCTCGCGGATGAGAAGCCAGCTCCGGGAAGGGGTCCAGATCTTTTCGGAAAAGATAGAAAATCAACTACCTGGATTGGCAGAAACCGTCGGCGGCGAGGGCGAGGACGGCGAGGGCGCAACAGATCACGGGGACGAGGGGGAAGCGGGATGTGACACGGTGGAGTTTCGAGCACGTGAACATTGGACGGATCCCGTTTCCGTGCAGAATCGTTGCACTTCGTCGCCCAAAAAGGTGGCATTGGCGCCATGCTCCGGGGGGTACAGGCCTCAGACAAAATGACGAGCATCCATGCCACATTTACCGGTTGGCGGTGGGCCTGTTGAGTTGCACCTCGACCGCAGTCTCCTCCGCGAGTGCCAACTTTGAATTTGGGGGGAGAGGGGAAGTGTCCATTGATTGTTCCCCTCTACTCAGGAGGGGAAAAAACACAGACACAATCAATCGTCGATTCCCAGAAATATGGGAAAATGTGGGAAGTGGGGGGGAAGACAGAAACCCAGAAAATATGGGAAAATATGGGGAATCCTTTCATTTGTGTGTATTTATTTGTGTGTCTCAGGGCCCCTTCATCTACCGGAACTCGGGCTTCCGGCGGCCGTCCGGGACGACCTGGGCACCTCTGGCACGCTCTCGGCGAGGCGCAGCTGCTGGAGAGCATCCCGAGGCTGCAGCACCGCCTCAAGCCTCGAACCGTCCGAAGACCGCGAGCCTCGAACCTCCAGCCTCGAACTGTCCGAAGACCGCGAGCCTCGAACCTCAGGCCTCGAACTGTCCGAAGACCGCGAGCCGCGAGCCTCAAGCCTCGAACCTCGTCCGAGGGCCTCGGACCTCGAGCCTCTCCGGGTCAGTGCCGCGGAGGCGGCCGGTCGCCGTGGCCGCCCGCAGAGGCGGCGGTGTCAGCATTTGGGGGGAGGAGGAGGAGGAGGAGGAGGAAGAGGGCGAGGAGGAGGAGGAGGAGGAGGAGAGGAGGAGGAGGAGGAGGAGGAGGAGGAGGAGGAGGAGGAGGAGGAGGAGGAGGAGGAGGAGGAGGAAGCAAGGAGGAGGAGGAGGAGGAGGAGGAGGAGGAGGAGGAGGAGGAAAGGGCGACGGCGCCCACAGATCCCTCATCCACGGGAGCGCTCTCCCGTGAGCCGGCCAGCCCGCAGAGGCGGCGATATCAGCATTTGGGGAAAGGGCCGAGTGTCCAGTGGTTCTTTCCCTCTACCGTGCAGTGCCGCTTTTACTACATGCTCCGCGCGCGGATCATGTATTAAAATAAAATAACGGGATTTAGTTTTAAAACAATGATGAATTTATGCATGGACTTATGCGTGAATTAATCGTGCATTAAAAATCCCACATTTGTGCAAATCCCATGTATTAAGAACTGCCCCGTACGTTCGCCGACCCACGGAGTTGGCGCCCACGGATCCCTCAGCCACGGGAGCGCTCTCCCGTGAGCCAGCCAGCCCGAGCGAGCCACACGGCCCCGCCCTCTCCCACCCTCCTGCCGTGCGTAGGCTCGTGCCGTGTCGACCGCCGGCGTCCCCGCCGCCGGCCTTCAACGCTGCACGCCGCCGGCGACCCAGAATCGGTCGATGTTCACGCTTCAGGTCTGCGGCGAGACACTGCCTCTTTGGTTGCAGGGGTGCGAAGGACACGGATTGCTTACGTCACTATTCGACCTGCCCGCGGATGCGGGAGATGCTGGAACCCTGGGCCCGTGATGAAATCCCGCCACATGGGCATGACTGGTTTTCTGATCTCCTCTTTTTGACGCCTCGCCTCAGCCCTGAGACCGATATTCGGTCTGCCCCAATATGTGATGCATCTTACTTTCTGTACAATGCATGGAGGCTCGGTGCAAGAGTGCGGCCGAGCTTGATTTTTGCTGGAAGGATCCGTGCACAGTGCCGCAAGCATGGGGCGGTGCAGGCGGCCTGGAACCAGGGTCCTCGGGGAGTGGAATGTGTTGGCACATGAAAAAAAGAATTGGTCGACGCTGACCCATCTGACGTTTTGGAAGCGGCCGATCGTTCAAGGTTGAATCGGAGGAGAGAGCACGCCATTGACATACGGCGGGGGCGTTGGTTACGGAATGTGCCCAGGAGGCTCCAGACCCTGGGGGGGTCCTTATCTGATGGGGGCGGCGGTGATATCCATGGCCAATCCACGATCTAAGTTCCACTGGCTTCGAGGCCCTGGATTCCTGATCTAAGGTTTCCTTACCCAATGCCCTCACCGTAAGCTTTCGGCGAACCGCACGGATTTCTCGGATCGGCGCCTGGGCCTTCGGCGGCGTCTCCGGCGCCGCCTCTGGCGCGCTCCGCGCAGCGGGGAGGGGGGTCCAGCGCAGATCAAATCCGCGTGGAGCACCAAAAGCTTATGTTTATGCCGTGTTTGTTCTTCTTCTAGTTTCGGAAGCGGCCGATCAGTCAAGGTTGAAAGATCCCCGCGGTGTCAGGAACCAATGCCTGGGTCGACACGACACGAACCCGCAGTACCTATGACTGGACGTTGGGGCTCGCACGCGCGCGCTTTTGGAGATCGGAAGGCGCTCGCGCGCCCGCGCGCCGCCCTTCCTCCGCCGACTTCGGCGGAGGGCAACCACGTGAGCTGCGTACAGGCAAACGTGAGCTGCGCACGAACTGGGCCACTTCGCGTGCGGTCGTGCTTCCGACAGGACTGGCGAGGGCAAAGCAGGAAGATCTGCGCAGAGCGTGGGGGCGCATCTACATCTACATGTACACACATATATATATGTGGATAGTTATATGTCTGTATATATATATATACACATACATATATTTACACTTCCATCTGTGGTGTAATTCATGTGGTGCAACCTAGCTGGCGCAGAGAAGCAAGGAACAGCAACGACATGCAAAGCAAATCGAGGCAACGCAAAACAACGCACCACACTGCAGAGCATTCCAAAGCTATGCAATGCAGTGTGACACAGCATTGCAAACCACAGCAATGCAATGCAAAGCTATGCCACGCAACGCCATGCAAAGCAACGCAAATCAAGGCAACGCAACGCAAACCATCACAATGCACATCAATGCAAGGCAAGACAATGCAAAGCAAGGCGAGCAAACGCAATGCAAATCAACGCAAATGCAAAACAGCTCAATGCAATGTAGCGCAATGACAATCAAGGCAACGCAACGCACTGGAAATCATAAAACGCGATGCAAAATACAGAAAAGCGATACAACGCAAGACAACGCAAAGCACAACAGCTTTAAGCAATGAAATGAATCGCAACACAATCACAGCAACGCTAATCAACGCCATGTAACGCAACGCACAGCAACACAACGCACGGCAAAGTAATGCAAAGCAATTCAAATCAAAGCAAGGCAAGCCAACGCAGTGCAAAGCAATGCGAAGCAACGCACAGCAACTGCAAAGCGAGACACGGCGGAGAGTACGGGGGAGGAGGAGGAGGAGGAGGACGAGGAGGAGGAGCAGGAGGAGGAGGAGGAGGAGGAGGAAGAGGAAGAGGAGGATGGGGGGGAGGACGACGACGACAACGGTGGCGACGACGACGACGATAAGCCAAACCAGGAGAGAGAGGAGGAAACGAGTAAGCAGGACGAGGAGGAGGAGGACGAGGAGGAGGAGGAGCACCGACGACGACCGCGAGGACGAGCAAACATAGGAAGAGGAGGAGGAACAGGACGAGCAGGAGGATCAGGAGGAGGAGGAGGAGAGAACGGCGACATCAGAAGCATCAGTGCAGCAGCGCCCAGCCAGAGGCAGATCAGCGCTGAGGAGCGCCTCGGGCGCGCGGAGTTTCTCCTGGAGGTGTCTGAGCTCTCGCTGGTCAGCGCGGACGCGGAAGGCATACCGCGCACGCTGTCGCAGCCGATGTCGCCGATCACGGGAGAGGAGGGGGCAGCACAAGGGGTCAGCGGAGGACAAGGTACCGATACCGCGATTTTTGCCTCGACTTCAAAATTTTGGGCCTCGTGGGACGAGGGACGAGGATGGAGGGGGAGGAGACGGAGGAGGATCGAGCATCCATCTCAGGTTGTTGGTAGTTGTTGTCCTTTCCTGGGAGGCTCTCGTCGCCACGGCTGGGTTCGCATAGGAACTCTGGTGGTCGGAGATCGGGGAGCAGCAGTACCGGTACCTCTTTGCTTCCCCACGGAGGAGCAGGGGCAGGACAAACCGGAGGGAGGAGAAGCGATGAGGCCCACGATGCCTCCCCGAGCTGGATGCTGGGGATGTCTCGAGCGAGAGGGGGGGACCACACCAACAGGGAGACTCTCCTTGCCTCCTCGCACCTCCTCGCCCTGCTGGTGTTGGTGTCGCCGTTCCTTGTTCCCTGCGAAGACGAGGAGCAGGATGAGGAAGGAGCGGTTGAGACGGAGGAGGATAGCACCACGGAGGATCAAGGGGGGGGGGGGCGCACGAGAAGAGAGGGGGAGGAGGAGGAGGAGGAGGAGGAGGAGGAGGAGGAGGAGGAGGAGGAGGAGGAGGAGGAGGAGGAACAGTGTGATCAAAAGGATGGGGAAACAATGGAGGAGGAAGACGAGGAGGAGGAGAAGCAGGAGCCCTACCTCTGACGTCGCCCTTTTTTTCACCACGTGAGCCCCCTGGTGGTCCCGACCCCTTCCCTGGGACCAGCTGCTCGTCTCGATGCGTCGTTTGAGCATACATGCCGTGGCTCGGCAGTGGCCCCAAGATGCAGGAAATGACGTAACCGCTCCGGGCAAGTTTTTGTGTCCCTGGTATTGGTCTCGGGCGTCGCGCAATGGGGCGCGATGAGTGGGGGGGCAGCGAGGGCTGCAGACAAGGAGCCCAGGGGCTCTGCAGGGCCCAAAAGGGGGCCTGTACTGCCCGAGAAGTGAACCTCCCTCCGCCCCCCTCCCTATGTGTCGCCCTCATATTGTGCGACGCTTAAGGGACGTTACCCGGGGTGGGGGGCCCAGGTGACGGTAACGCCTGCGCTGGGTGGGCACGTCGGGGCGGGGGTGCGCTGCGATGCTGCGATCGCTATAGTACGAGCGCGAGCACCAGCAGGGTCCAGGCCCCTCCCCATACGTACGACCGTAAACACCACAGGGGGGGGGGGATCTGGTAACGACCGTTACGCGTCAGAGGATACAAGACAAACCCCCGTCGATATATTTTTCAACGACGCGAAGAGGTGGAGGAGGTGGGCGAGGAGGAGGAGGAGGAGGAGGCGGAGAAGGAGGAGGAGGAGGAGGACGAAGAGGCGGAGGACCAGAGTGAACCCCTGGGCGCAACAACGATGTTGCAATGAACCCTCCCTCCCCGCTTCATAGGTCATAGGCCCCTGCAAGAATGTATTGGTAAGGACTTACGGCCGGTGCTGCTGACCCTGAAGAGGGACGGCGACCACGACTGCGGCGTCGGCAGCGACGATGACGCTGACGTGTGGCAGAGTCCTCAGCGATGCTTGGTGGGGCCTCTTCGGAGCGCGCTCGTGGGCCTGTGGGGGCAGGTTTGGGGCCTCTTCGGAGCATGTTTGGGGCCTCTCGAGGGCCTCTTGGGGCCCCCTGGGAGCTTCTCGGAGCCGAGGGCTCGAAATGTTCGTTTTGGCTCCCGTGTGGGCACCCTCTTGGAGCCGTTTTGGTGGCCTCTGCGGCCATGTGGGAGGCCTCCAGGGCCGTCTTGGGGCCTTTTGGGGTCGATGCGGGGCCGTCTTGGAGACCTCTTGGAGGCCTTTTGTGCTGTTCTTGATGGAGACTTTAGTTTGATTGCAGGAAGTGCCCCGTTGGAAGACAACCGTCTGATAATCTTCAATCGTGTCAAAAAAATGGGTTCCAACACCGCGAATCCTGACGATCCTGCATCGCGCCACAGCATCGATCCCGGGACTGCACTACTGCGAATCAGCGTGATTGTTGTGCACTGGCAATGCTGCATCAGGACGGAGCGCCGTTTTGGGGACGTCACCCATAATTCTACGCTCAAGTGCCACGTATTTCCCAACCATCCTGTGGTGTTGGGTCCTCGTATTGAAGAGACAGCGCCCCGCGTCCCACTCACCCACTCACTCACTCCTCCTCATCCTCCTCCTCCTCCTCTCCCCCCATTCCCCCTCCTCCCCCTCCCTCCTCCATGCGTTTCGCCCACCCAGTATAGCGCGTCGTGGCCCCATTGTGAGCTCCACCGAAGGCCCCAGGCGGGGGGTACCAAATGCTTCTGCCACACCCAGTACAGCGTTTCGTGGCCCCATAGGGAGCTCCACCGAAGGCCCCAGGGGAGGGGGGGTACCACATGCGTCTGCCACGCCCAGCACAGCGCTTCGTGGCCCCATAGGGAGCTCCACCGAAGGCCTCAGGGGGGGGTACCACATGCGTCTGCCACATCCAGTACACAGTTTCGTGGCCCCATAGGGAGCTCCACCGAAGGTCCCAGTGGGGGGTACCACATGCGTCTGCCACACCTAGTACAGCGTCTCGTGATCCCATAGGGAGCTCCACCGAAGGCCCCAGAGGGAGGGGGGGTAACCACATGCGTCTGCCACACTCAGTACAGCGTGTCGTGGCCCCACAGGGAGCTCCACGTAATGCCTCAGGGGGGGGGGTACCGCATGCGTCTGCCACGCCCAGTACAGCGTTTAGAGTTTCGTGGCCCCATAGGGAGCTCCACCGAAGGCCCCAGAGGGAGGGGGGGTAACCACATGCGTCTGCCACACTCAGTACAGCGTTTCGTGGCCCCACAGGGAGCTCCACGTAATGCCTCAGGGGGGGGGGTACCGCATGCGTCTGCCACGCCCAGTACAGCGTTTAGAGTTTCGTGGCCCCATAGGGAGCTCCACCGAAGGCCCCAGTGCTACCGCCCGCATGCGTTCCCCCCGACCCAGTGCAGCGCTTCGTGGCCCCATAGGGAGCTTAACCGATGAAGATATTTACAATTGCGGTACCCACAACTGCATATGGTTGGGTCCTCCGCCAGGATAAATTTAAGACGAACGTGCGCGGATACTCAGCGAGAGCCGCATTTTGAAAACGACCCGCCCTCCAACCGTGAAGGCTTGCAAACGTTTACTGCGCATGCGCGCGGCGCTTCGGCGAGAACCACATGTTGAAAACGACCCGCCCTCCAACCGTGAAACTTGTGCAAGCTTGCAAACCTTAACCGCACGCCGATGATAATAAAGGGACCCCCCTTCAGTGTTTAGAGTTGATTATCGTCGCCCTATACAAAATTCAAATTGGGCGGCGAGCGCTGAGGCCGAACTTCATTATCACTTCGGAACGCTATGTTGAGATAGCAACTTCAAGCGATGTTGATATAGCAACATCAAGCGAAGCGATCACACTTTTTCAGGATGTGTCAAGCGAAACCAATAATTTTGGGAGGCAGACTCAAACGAAACGAGCAATGTTCTTATTATTCTTCTACTTTCCTCTTCTTCTTTCATATTTCTATCTGTCCTCACGCTCGCCTGAACTTTTTTATCCCTGGGGTTGATTGTCCATGGAAAATGAAGCACATGAGCTACCCTACACGAGCACTTAAAAACATCAATTTTCATAAAGCGCTTGTAAATTAAAATTGATAGATTTGGAACTTTGGATTTTTCCTTTCTTCGTCCTCGTCTTATTATCCTCTTATTCTTCTTTCTTATTGTTATTATACTGTATTCTTCTTCTTTTATATTTCTCTCTGTCCCCACGCTCGCCTGATTTTTTTCTTGGGATTGATTATCCATGGAAATTGAAGCACCTGAGCTACCCTACACGAGCACTTACAAAAAACAATTTTCATGAGAGATAAGCCATTGTTGAGGATATTTCTATGAAAACTAAACGCCAAGGATGTCTCAAAACGTGCTCGGCTTGGTCTCCTCTTGATCATCTCTTACTTCGAGATTATGCTGAGGTCTGCTGGGCTACTTTTACTATCTCTCCCTGAGCCCCGAACTTTATTATCCCCTAGTGTTTATTCTCACGGGCATGAGGTTACGCGCGGCGCTAAGGCGAGAAACATATGTTGAAAACGACCCGCCCTTCATCCGCGAAACTTGTGCAAGCTCTGAAGGCGCATCTCCGGGTCGCTGAGGAGATATCTACATTTTGAAATCAACCAGCGTTTACGTGAGACGTAAGAGTGTGCGAAACCAGTGCAAACGCTTAAGACGTATGTGCGCTTCGCTCAGGCGAGAGTCACATTTTGAAAATCATCCAACATCAATCCGTGAAGACGGATGTGTTCGGCGCTGCGGCGAGAACCACATGTCGAAACCGACCCGCCCTCCATCTGGGAAGTTTCGGCATTTTGTTAAAAAAAACAACGTATGCGCGTGGCGCTGAGGACGCTCGGACGAGAGCCCTTTTTTTGAACTTATCCCGACAAAGCAACCTAACAGCGATGTGTAGGAGCATATTTGGAAGCATTCCCCTTAAGATTCAGATGAGAATCCTGTCGTAGAGTTCTGCTGTTCTCGCACTCGTAGTCGCATTCGCGATGGCAGTCGCAGTGGCAACGGCAGTCGCAGTCACAGCCTCAGCCTCAGCCTACCTCAGCCTCAGCCTCAGCCTGCCTCTGCCTCAGCCTGCCTCAGCCTCAGCCTCAGCCTGCTTCAGCCTCAGCCTCAATCTGCCTTCAGCCTCAGCCTCAGCCTCAGCCTGACTCAGCCTCAGCCTGCATCAGCCTCAGCCTCAGCCTCAGCCTGCCTCAGCATCAGCCTGCCTCAGCCTCAGCCTCAGCCTGCCTCTGCCTCAGCCTCAGCCTGCTTCAGCCCCAGCCTCAGTCTGCCGTCGGCCTCGGCCTCAGCCCTGCCTCAGCCTCAGCCTGCCTCAGCTTCAGCTTCAGCCTCAGCCTGCCTCAGCATCAGCCTGCCTCTGCCTCAGCCCCAGCCTCAGCCTGCCTCAGCCTCAGCCTCAGCCTGCTTCAGCCTCAGCCTCAGTCTGCCTTCAGCCTCGGCTTCAGTGTCCGCCTGCTTCAGCCTCAGCCTGCATGAGCCTCAGCCTCAGCCTCAGCCTGCCTCAGCCTCAGCCTGCCTCAGCCTCAGTCTCTCAGCCTGCAGCCTCAGCCTCAGTCTGCCTTCAGCCTCGGCCTCAGCCTCAGCCTGCCTCAGCCTCAGCCTGCCTCAGCCTCAGCCTCAGCCTCAGCATCTGCCTCAGCCTCAGCCTCAGTCTGCCTTCAGCCTTGGCCTCAGCCTCAGCCTGCCTCAGCCTCAGCCTGCATCAGCCTCAGCCTCAGCCTCAGCCTGCCTCAGCATCAGCCTGCCTCAGCCTCAGCCTCAGCCTGCCTCAGCCTCAGCCTCAGCCTGCTTCAGCCTCAGCCTCAGTCTGCCTTCAGCCTCGGCCTCAGCCTCAGCCTGCCTCAGCCTCAGCCTGCATCAGCCTCAGCCTCAGCCTCAGCCTGCCTCAGCCTCAGCCTGCCTCAGCCTCAGCCTCAGCCTGCCTCAGCCTCAGCCTCAGCCTGCTTCAGCCTCAGCCTCAGTCTGCCTTCAGCCTCGGCCTCAGCCTCAGCCTGCCTCAGCCTCAGCCTGCCTCAGCCTCAGCCTCAGCCTCAGCCTGCCTCAGCATCAGCCTGCCTCAGCCTCAGCCTCAGCCTGCTTCAGCCTCAGCCTCAGTCTGCCTTCAGCCTCGGCCTCAGCCTCAGCCTGCCTCAGCCTCAGCCTGCATCAGCCTCAGCCTCAGCCTCAGCCTGCCTCAGCATCAGCCTGCCTCAGCCTGCCTCAGCCTGCCTCTGCCTCAGCCTCAGCCTTCTGCCTCAGCCTCAGTCTGCCTTCAGCCTCGGCCTCAGCCTCAGCCTGCCTCAGCCTCAGCCTGCATCAGCTTCAGCCTCAGCCTCAGCCTGCCTCAGCATCAGCCTGCCTCAGCCTCAGCCTCAGCCTGCCTCAGCCTCAGCCTCAGCCTCAGCCTGCTTCAGCCTCAGCCTCAGTCTGCCTTCAGCCTCGGCCTCATCCTCAGCGTGCCTCAGCCTCAGCCTGCATCAGCCTCAGCCTCAGCCTCAGCCTGCCTCAGCCTCAGCCTGCCTCAGCCTCAGCCTCAGCCTGCCTCAGCCTCAGCCTCAGCCTGCTTCAGCCTCAGCCTCAGTCTGCCTTCAGCCTCAGCCTCAGCCTCAGCCTGCCTCAGCCTCAGCCTGCCTCAGCCTCAGCCTGTCTCAGCCGCAGCATCAGCCTGCGTCAGCATTCAAAATGTGGCCCGGGAATTGAGTTCTGGAAACTCGAAGAACACGAAGTGGCCTACAGTTGGCTCCGGGCATTCAAAATCATGCCCGGGAATAGAGTTCTGGGAACTCGAAGACCACGAAGTGGCTTACAATTGGCTCCGGCATTCAAAGTGTGGCCCGGGAGTGAAGTTCTGGGAACTCGAAGAGCACGAAGTGGCCTACAGTTGGCTCCGGGCATTCGAAATGTGGCCCGGGAATGGAGTTCTGGGAAATCGAAGTTCACGAAGTGGCTTACAGTTGGCTCCGGGCATTCAGAATATGGCCCGGGAATGGAGTTCCGGGACCTCGAAGGTCACGAAGTGTGTAACTGTTGGCTAAAAAAAGTTCCCGGCATCCTCCCCTGGATCGCGCCCAGACCCCCAGGGCCCTGGGGCGTCATGATGCTTTCTTTTGACCCTACTAGAAACCTATCAGTCTTCGCTGTTAGGTAAAAAGCACCCGTCCTCCATCCGTGAAGCTGTCGCGCATGATGAGCTGCAGAATCGGAACTGGTGAGGGGGTCTTACGCGAGGCGCCCGGCCCGCCCTGCCGCATGGGCGGGGTGAGCAGCGGCAGCATGAGGCGTGAGCGGGGGCTGTGGGCGCGGGGGGAGCGCGTGTGGCGTGCCGGAGCAGGGTCTGCGGGGCGGGTCCGGACACGTCGTGGGCAGAGGGCTCCTGCGTTTCCTCCCTCCTCCCTCTTTCCCCGCGGGGACGGGGGAAGGTGAGAGAGAGAGAGAGACAAAAAGAGAGAGAGAGAGAGAGAGAGAGAGAGAGAAAGAGAGATCGAGAGAAGCAGAGAGAGAGGGAGAGGGAGGAGGAAAGCAAGCGCGGGAGGAGGCAGACACATGCACAGCGAGAGGGAGATCTAACAAAACACACAGAGAAGGAGAGATATCTAGCAACAAACACACAACAAGAAGAAGGGCATATGGATGGTAATCAGGGAGAGGGGTGGATGGGGTACAGGAATGGGGACGCGAGCGAAGGGAGGGAAGGGCGAGGGGGGGATATGAAAAGACGAGGAAGGGGAAGAAGTGGAGGGGAGAGATGGATGGGGCGGGGAGGGGAAGAGGGGGAGAGAGGGGGATGGAGGAGAGGGGGCCGTGGGGTACGAGAAGTGAGGAAAGGGAGGGAATATAGAGAAGATGAGGTGCGGGAGGGGTGGGGTGGGGGGGGGAACAGTGGGGGAGCGGGTGGGGGAGCGGAGTGGATAGAAGGGGAGGCCGGGGGTTGGGGGGGGACAGGGGGATGGAGACGTGGTGGCCGACAGTTTTTTCAGCGCATGCGAGACATTCCGTGTTGTGTGTGTGTGTGTGTGGGGGGGGGGGGAGGAGGCGCAGGAGAGACAGATGGGAGGGGGCAGAGAAAGGGAAAGAAGATGGGGAGTGTGGGAGGGGAGAGCGAGGGAGGGAGAGAGAAAGAGGAGGGAGGGCAGGATGCCGGTGGACGGGAGGGGGCGTTGCAGGAGAGCGGGAGGGGATGCAATGGATTTGGAAAATGGGGGAAAAGGGGCGAAGAGAAGAGACAGGGGAAGAGGATGGGCAAGGGAGAGGAAGCAGGGGAGGAGGCAGAGGGGGGCGATGAGCAGATGAGGGAGCGACGAGGAGAGGCAGCGGGCAAGGGAAGGTGAGCGGAGGAGGAGGAATGGTGGAGAGGAGGGGGAGGTATAGGGGGCGGATAATGTTGGGGTGGAAGGTGGGCAGGCGGGGGCGAGCGTGGGGAACAGGGGGACGGGACTGGAGCGCTGGAGCGGAGGGGCTTCCAGCCTCTCCCTCTTCGTCATTCTGGCCTCTCGACCGGCGGTCCAAATATTAGTCGGCCTCTCGATCGGTAGTCGGATGTGTTGTTGAGGACTCTGACCAAAATTTCGAGGCGAATCCAGCGGTGGCGACGAGGGCCTCCCAGAAGGCCCTTCCAAGGGGAATCAGCGAGGGAAGGGCAGCGGTATGGATCCCTTCGCCTCCTGCGAGACTGCTGCTGCAGGGTCATCCCTCTTCCCGCGCCGTCGCGCCCTCAGCCAGGCGTGCGCTTCCACTTCTACGCGGCGGCCCGCGTGGCGGTCGACCGCGTGCAGGCCGCTGGGTCGGGCCTGGAGGGTGGTCTCTTCCCCGCGAGCGGGGGCAAGAGGGAGGAAGTGATCGGCGGTGAGCCTCCTCCTCCTCCTCCTCCTCCTCCTCCTCCTCCTCCTCCTCCTCCCTCCTCCTCCTCCTCCCTCCTCCTCCTCCTCATCCTCCTCCTCCTCCCCTTCCCCTAACTCCTTCCCCTCTCTCTCTCTGTCCCCCCTCGTCCTCCTCCTCTCCTCCTCCTCCTCCTCTCCTTCCCCTCTCTCCTCTGTCCCCTCCTCCCTCCTCCTCCTCCTCCTCCTCCTCCTCCTCCTCCTCCTCCTCCTCCTCTCCTTATCCTCCTCCTCCTCATTCTCCTCCTCCTCCTCCTCCTTCTTATCCTCCTCCTCCTCCTCCTCCTCTCCTCCTCTTCTCCTCCTGTCCCACTCTTCCTCTCTCCCAAGCCCATCTCTCCCTTCCTCCTCCTCCTCCCCCCTCCTCCTTCTCCTCCCCTCCTTTCTCCTCCTCCTCCTCCTCCTCCTCCTCCTCCTCCTCCGTTCTCCTCTTCCATGCCCTCATCCTCTTCCCTTCCTCCTCCCCGCTTTCTCTCGCCCTCTCGAGACATCCGACGTCTCCCTTACCTGTCGCAGCGTGGCCCCTTGGGAGGCCCGGGCCGCAGACCCCAGGGACCGGCAGGGGCGGCCCCGGAGGGCCAGGCCTGTGGAGCACCTCTTGCTTTGGTGTCTGCACAGCGCGAGAAGGGCGACGACGAGGACGACGAGGACGAGGACGACAGGGACGAGGACGAAAACGAGGACGACGAGGACTTGGGCTTACGTCGTGCACGCCCCTCTGCAGGAGGATCCATCCAAAAGAGTTTAGAAATAGTCTGGGGAGGCTTTTTTCTATGTTTTCCCAACCATCCTGTGGTGTTGGGTCCTCTCTAGAAGAAACGGTCCCCGCGTCTCCTTCTCCTCCTCCCGTGCCCTCCTCCCCCTCCTCCCTCCTCCATGCGTTTCACCCACCCAGTACCGGGGTACCACATGCGTCTGCCACACCCAGTACAGCGCTTCGTGGCCCCATAGGGGCCTCCACCGAAGGCCCCAGGGGGGAGGTACCACATGCCTCTGCCACACCCAGTGCAGCGCTTCGTGGCCCCATAGGGAGCTCCACGTAAGGCCCCAGTAGGGGGTACCACATGCGTCTGCCACACCCAGAACAGCGCTTCGTGGCCCCATACGGAGCTCCACGTAAGGCCCCAATGGGGGGTACCACATGCGTCTGCGACGCCCAGTTCAGCGTTTCGTGGCCCCATAGGGAGCTCCACCGAAGGCCCCAGAGAGGGTGTGGCCACATGCGCCGGCCACACGCAGTACAGCGCTTTGTGGCCCCATGGGGCCGTCCGCATGCGTCCCACACACCCAATTTGGCAGTTTCACCCACCCAGTACAGCGCTTCGTGGCCCCATAGGAAGCTCCACCGAAGCCCCCAGTGGGACCGTCCGCATGCGTCCCGCACACCCAACTTGGCATTTTCATCCACCCAGTATACCATTTCGTGGCCCCATAGGGAGCTCCACCGAAGCCCCCAGTGGGACCGTCCGCATGCGCCCCAGAAACCCAGTTTGGCATTTTCACCCACCCAGTACAGCGCTTCGTGACCCCATAGGGTGCTCCACCGAAGCCCCCAGTGGGACCGTCCGCATGCGTCACACACACACAATTTGGCATGTTCACCCACCCAGTACAGCGTTTCGTGGCCCCACAGGGAGCTCCACCGACGGCCCCAGTGCTACCGCCCGCATGCGTTCCCCCCCACCCAGTGCAGCGCTTCGTGGCCTCATAGGGAGCTTCACCGAAGAAGATAATTTCAATTGCGGTACCCATAAGTGCATATGGTTGGGTCCTTTTTATTTTCTCGTCCACAATCCGCCTGTAGGAGGACACGCCCGACCTAAACTTAGGCGACGACGAGGACAAAGACAACGTGGAGGATGAGGAGGACGACGAGGACGCCGAGGAAGAGGAGGAGGAGGAAGAGGAGGAGGAGGAGGAGGAGGAGGACGACGACGACGAGAAGGCTGAGGACGAGGACGACAATGCCTCCGCAGGAGCAGAACGCTGAGGTCGAGGACGACGACGAGAACGCGGAGGACGAGGACGACGATGCCCCCGCCCTTCGAGCAGGTGTCTGCGGTGGACGGCTCCTGGGGGCCCTACGTGCTGCAGCCGGCCCCCGGAGAGGCGCGCTCCTCCCGCCATCCCGGGCCGGGGGGGGGGAGCTCCAGCGTCGTTTGCCGTCTGCGCCCCCGTCGTACGCCTCGAGATCTGCGCGTTGCAGGTGTGGTTGTTGTTGTGGTGGTTGGATTCTCACTACTGAAGATGAATCATTGTTGTTGACCCCACCTCCGGTGCACACTGTATTTCCCCACATCCAGAGTGGGGTTTTTGTTTTCTCTGGACACCCCGCGCAGGAACCTTCTCACCTCACCCCCTCTCCTCTTCTGTCTTCGTGCGCTCACTCACTCACTCACTAGCTCACTCACTCACTCACTCACTCACTCACTCACTCATCAGCACTTACTCACTCACACGCTCATGAATTCACATATGATGATAATGAGTGTGCGCGTGAGATAGTGTGATGATCATCATCATCATCACCATTCAGTCAGTCAGTCAGTCAGTCACTCACTCACTCACTCACTCACTCACTCACTCACTCGCCTTGGGCCTCGTCTGTGAGTGAATTGCGAGGAAGTCTCAAGCGGGAGCCCCCTCCCTATGGGGCCCGCGGATCATGTTACTAACCCGAGGAAGTCTCAAGCGGGAGACCCCTCCCTATGGGGCCCGCGGATCATGTTACTAGTCCGAGCGGGTCATCCAATTCCTGTAACCGTCGCCACTTTTGGGCTCTCGCGCTGCCAGAACGCCATCCGCAGGCGGATCATGTTACTAAACCGAGGAAGTCTCAAGCGGGAGCCCCCTCCCTATGGGGCCCGCGGATCATGTTATTAATCCGAGCGGGTCATCCAATTCCTGTAACTGTCGCCTCTGTTGGGCTTTCGCGCTGCCAGAACGCCATTCCCAGGCGGATCATGTTACTAACCCGAGGAAGTCTCAAGCGGGAGCCCCCTCCCTATGGGGCCCGCGGAATATGTTATTAATCCGGGCGGGTCAGCCAATTCTTTTAACTGTCGCCATTTTTGGGCTCTCGCGCTGCCAGAACGCGATTCCCAGGCCACATTTTGAATGCCCGGAGCCAGCTGTAGGCCACTTCGTGATCTTCGTGCTCCCAGAACACCATTCCCGGGCCATATTCTGAATGCCCGGAGCCAACTGCAGGCCACTTCGTGTTCTTCGTGTTCCCAGAACACCACTCCCGGGTCACATTATGAATGTCCGGAGCCAACTGTAGGCCACTTTGTGTTCGTCGTGTTCCCAAAGCGTTATTCCCGGCACGTATCCACTGGGACGCACCCCTTTGCACTTCCACTGGGTCGTGCTCCCGCACGTATCCACCGGCACGCACCCTGTGCGTTTCCTTTGGGTCGTGTTCGGCACGTATCCACTGGGACGCACCCGACGATGATGATGGCGAGGTCGTGTGCAACGTAGGGAGCGGGGGGAGGGCCCGCGCCAGGGCGAGAAGATATATACTCAGAAGAGACAGCCAGGACGCCTCACCAACCACGAGGGCGACGGTGAGGGCTTTTTCCAGATTCGCCCAGAGGATTCTCATGTGGGGTCCTTCCGTCGGAGTAATTTTCAATTGGGGTGCCCCTCCCCGCGCTCGCATCTTTTCCCTACCTAGGCTCTGCCTAGAAGGGTTCGTGCCCTCTGTGCTTAAAGGGCCGGGCAGTGGATAACGCCCCGGGCGGTTCCCCTGGCATCCGCCCCGCGGTTCCCCCAGCTACTCCTCCTTAGCTTAGCGATGCCTATTTCATCTTAGCCGAGCCTAGCTTAGCTTAGCTTAGCTTAGCTCGGCTTGGCTTAGCTTAGCTTGGCGCAGTTTAGCTTAGCGCAGCGCAGCGCAGCAGTAACATAGCATATCATAATATAGCACATCATATCATATCATAGCATAGCATAACCTCGCATAGTGCAGCATATCATAGCGCAGCATAGCATAGCATATCATAGCTTAGCAAAACATAGCGTAGCGCAACATAGCATAGCATACCATAGCATATCATAGCTTAGTTCAGCATAGCACAGCGTTGCATAGCTTAGTATAGCATAGCATTGCACCGCGCAATATAGCATATCATATCATAACATAGCGCATCATAGCGCAGCAGAGCGTATCATAGCATTGCATAGCGCAGCATATCATATCATATCATAACATATCATAGCGCATCAAATCATACCATGTTATAGCATAGCATAGCATAGCGCAGCAAATCATATCATCGCATATCATAGAACCGCATAACATAGCATAGCATAGTGCAGCATAACATAGCACATCACAGTCTATCATACCATAGCGCAGCCCAGCATACCTTAGCACATCATATCATATCATAGCGTCGCGTAGCATAACGCAGCATTGCGCAGCATACCATATCATATCATAGAATAGCGCAGCATACCATAGCATATCATAGCGTAGCATTAAAGCAAAGGCAACGCAACATCAGCAACAGCAAAGCAAATCTTAAGCACCGCAACGCAAAGCAAAACACACGCAAACGCAAAGCAACGGAACGGTAACGCAAACTCAATGCGTCGGTGTACATGTAGCTGTCGGTGTAGATGTAGATGTTGCTTTCCTAAATGCTCCAACTCTTAGGTCGGGTCGCACTGGGGTAATTTGTATCAGGGGAAGTCTTCCTCCTCAAACTGTGGTGTTGGCCCCTGGGTTACAGCAACAACGGCTCCCGCCTGAGACTTCCTCACAAGTTTACCAGGACCCCCGCTCCCGCCTGAGACTTCCTCGTACGTTATTCAGGAATCCCGCTCTCGCTTGGGACTTCCTGACAATGTATATAGGAATCGCCCTCTCGGCGCTCTGGAGTCGCGCTCTCGTTGGAGGTTCGCTGGCAATCTACTAAAGAAAAGCGCCTTTGCTTTGGAATTTCCATAAATCTGCGCAGCCGCCGCGATCCCGCACACTCAGGCAACCAGGAGTCGCGCTCACGCTCAGGACTCCCTCACGGGTTCTTTCGGAAACGGGATCTCGCTGCCCTTCGTGGCCCTTTTGCAGCCTTTTGTGGCCCCCTTCGCAGCCCTCCGTGGACCCGTTGCAGCCCTTCGTGGCCCCCTCGCTGCTCTTCGTGGCCCCCTGGACTCCTCGCTGCCCGTCGTGGCCCCATTGCAGCCCTTCGTGGCCCCCTCGCTGCCCTTCGTGGCCCCGTTGCAGCTCTTCGTGGTCCCCTCGCTGCCCTTCGTGGCCCCGCTGTCGCCCTTCGTGGCCCCGTCGTTGCTCTTCGTGGTCTCGTTGCAGCCCTTCGTGGCCCCCTCGCTGCCCTTCGTGGCCGCGTTGCAGCCCTTCGTGGCCCCCTCGCTGCCGTTCGTGGCCCCTTTGCAGCCCTTCGTGGCCCCCTCGCTGCCGTCCGTGGCCCCATCTTTGTATGCCCTTCGTGGCCCCCGCTCGTTCGCGCCCGTCGTGGCCCCTTATGCATGCCCTTCGTGGCCCCGCCGTCGCCCTTCGTCGCTGCCCGTCGTTGCCATGTTGCTGCCCTAAGTGGCCCCGTCCTTGCCGTCCGCGGCCCAATATACGTATGCCGTTCGTGGCCCCCGCTCGCTCGCGCCCGTCGTGGTCCCATGTGCATGCCATTCGTGGTCCCGCTGTCGCCCTTTGTGCCCCCCTCGCTGTCCTACGTGGCCCAGTTGCTACCCTCAGTGGCCCCGTCGTTGCCTTTTGTGGCCCCGCATTATCTGCCCTTCGTGGCCCCCGCTCCTTCGCGCTCTTCGTGGTCCTATACGCATTCCTTTCGTGTCCCCGCTGCCGCCCTTCGTGGCCTACTTCGTGCCCTTCGTGGCCCTGCTGTCGTTCTCTCTCTCGCTGTCGCTTTCGTTCGTCGTCGTCGCCGTCGTCGTCGTCGACGTCGTCGTCGTCGTCGTCGTGGTCGGTCCCCTGTCCGTCCCTCTTGGGGTCGGGTTGCCGCCGACCAGCGCTGCCGCTGGCCAGGCCGACGGTCCGCGGCCGCCCCGCCGCTTGTCGGGACCCGACCAGCAGAGCAGAAAGGCGTACCCCGCAAAAGGGCACGATCGAAGACGAAGTGGGCGGGTATCGGGGGGTTGGGAAATACGCGTTAACGGACACTCGAGCAGATAAGAGCGAACAGTCCTAAAATGATTGTTGTTGCTGCTGTTGGCGTCAACGCCTATGTATGCCCCGCCCCCGGAGGGGGGGGGGGGCAGCAGGCCAGCGGGCAAGCACCAACACCAACACCGACGCCGACGCCCACGCTCACGCCCGGCGGGGGAGGGCAGCAGGCCAGCACCCACACCCTCACCGACGCCCGCGCCCACGCCCACGTCCGCACCCACATCCACGCCCACGCCCACGCCCACGCGCAAACCCACGCCCACGCCAACGGGCCAATTTCGGAGCAGTCCTCACACGCGTCGGGGCCCCACGAGAGGTCTCCACGGTATGCCTCGGGCCAGCTTCGGTTCTAATTGGTTTCGCGGGCCGATGTATTCTGATTGGTTCTAATTGATTCCCATTGATTCGAATTAATTATGAACTGATTCTCATTGGTTCCAATGGGTTCTAATTGATTATCTGTGATCCTTTGATTCTCATTGTTTCCTCTTGGTCAGAATTGATCCTCATCGGTTTAAATATAGTTCCCGCGGATTCCTATTTATTTTTCTTAATCCTTAGAGGTTCCCACTATTTCCTACTGACCCCGATTGATCAATATTGATTCCTACTGGTTATCCCATTCGTATTGGTTCGGTTTAATCCGTATTGGTTCCATATTTTCTATTTGATTCGTACCGATCCCAGAACAGCTCCATCCATCCCTAATTCGGGCTCCTTCCATCCTTAACAGGGCCCGAATGGAGCTCCACCCATTCCTGACAGGATATTGTTCGAGCTCCATCCACCCCTAACAGGATCCTGTTAGGGCTCCATACATCCCTAACAGGATCCTGTTGGACCTTCATCCATCCCTAACAGGATCCCATTGAAGCTCCACGCGTCCCCAACATGACCTTGTTAGAGCTCCATCCATCCCTTACAGGATCCTGTTAGAGCTCCATCCATCCCGAACAGGGTCTTATTTCGTTCGGTTTGGTTCGCCCATTCCATACAAGCCCCATCCATTCCCAACATGATCTTACTAGAACTCGATCCATATCTGGCAGGATCACGTTAGAGCCCCATGCATCCCCAGCAGGGTCTTATTTGAGCTCCATCCATCCCTTACAAGATCCTACTAGAGCTCCATCCATCCCTAACAGGATCATATTGGAGCTCCACCCATCCCTAACAGGACCCTGTGAAAACAGAGGTTGTATTCGGTGAGCTCTAAGTGAGGCGGCGGCGGGATGGCGACGGGGTGGCGACGGCGAAAATGGGCCCGCCCCATCAGCCCGCAGGCCCAGAAGACGGGGGCGACGAGGGAGCGACGGGGCGGCGACGACGAGCACGGAACCGCAAGTCTTGACCCGCATGCCCAGACGACGGAGGGCGATGAGGCGGCGACGGCGCGGCGACGGCGAGGACGGAGCCGCCAGACTGGCCCACAGACCCAGTTGCTCAGAAAAAGCAAACACCCCTAAGTACAAGCAGGCTCGAGGAAAATAAATGAGGTGGTGGTGGAGGAGGAGGTTGAGGTGTAGTTGGACGTGAATGTGTGGGAGAAGGCAGGCAAGGATGAATATGAGGAGGAGGAGGAGGAGGAGGAGGAGGAGGAGGAGGAGGGAAGGAGCGGTGATATGGTGATATGGTACTGTACAGAAGAACGAATAGTGTCAGAAGGATGGGCCCCCGACCGTGCGGCCAGACGGAAACGGGGGGGTGCGCGCAGCCCGCGGTGGCGTGCGACCGCCTGGGGCGCGCGGAGGGTGCAAGAGGGGGTGGTCGGAGGCAGTGGCGGAGGAAAAGGAAGTGTGCATGGGGAGGCGGCGGAACAGGACGGGGGACACCCGCAGAGCCTTCTCAGGCGGGCGAGCCGGTCGTCTGGGTCGCGGACGCGCCCGAGTGGCTGTGCCCCCTGAGCGCCAGCGAGGTGGTGGTGCAGGAGAGCAGCCCAAACGACCCCCGACCGCTTCCTTTCCGCAGAATCCCCATCGGTTGATACGGACATTGAGGGGAGGCATCATGTGTGATTTGCAGTGGGCCCGCAACTCAACTCGCGACTAGACCTACAGCACCAGTCAAACTCCTAGGGGCTCGCATTTGTAACCTACCATCGGGACAACCATCGCGACAACCATCGGGACAACGATCGGGTCGACCATCGGGACAACAATCGGGTCAACCATCACGAGAACCAACGGGATGACCATCGGGACACCTATTGGCACTAATATCGGGACAACCATCGGAACAACCTGGGGGGCATTGGTGGCCATTGCCATAAGGACAACCATCGGGACAACCATGTTTAATATGTATCAGTCTATCGGGACAACCCGGGGGCAACCAGGGGCCACGGACCGGACACAGGGGTGGGTGCTCAAGATTTTGATTCGACGTGGCCCCATACTGAGGCAGGAACTCGTGCAGCTTTGCCTCGTCCGCACGTCACGAACGTACGAAACGAAACGTTTCGCCGTTTGGGGCACCTCACGTTTCACTTTTGCCCCCCCCAACCTGCGAACACCGTACAGACCACCCTTTGAATAATTACAAGGTTTGGAGGTTTGACACAACTGTTAAGTTGAATTGGACGCAGAAATCAACCCACGAGTTGACACACTTCTGAACATCAAACTCCATCATCATATGTGTATGTGTATATGTATATGTATATATATATATGTACACAGACACGTCCCTGTACATGTACGTTTGCTCATATGAGTTCCTGTCTGCCGATGTTTATGTTTTCACCTCGATCCACATGTTTAAATTTAGTTACATGCTTATACGCGCATGCGAGCTTCATTGCATCTTCAAGGCTTATTTCACTCCATCTTCTCTGTCCACGTTCATGTGTATACGTATAAATGCCTGTCTCTCCATACATGTGAACATAGACATCTTTGCCATCCTGGCCATCAGTTCATGTTTCCAGTAACCGTCGGGGCAACCATCGGAACAACCATCACGACGACCGTCTCCATCGATCAACTGTTTGGGCAACAGTTCCAATCGAAGCAGACCGATCGGTCTCACTATCTACCTGTCGTGATAAACATCGGGACAACCATCGGGACAACCATCGGAGCAACCATCGGGACAACCATCAGGACAACCATCAGGACAACCATTGGCACCACCATGAGAACAGCAATCAGGAAAACCATCGAGATAACCATTTATCATCTATGTACTTGTCGCATCATCGATCGGTCCCACTACCCGTCCATCGATCTCACCATCCCTTCATCTGTTTTCAGCACTACCCATGTGTTGGAGCAACCAACAGGACAACCATCGGGACAACCAACAGGACAATCATTCATCGCGACAACAATCGGGGCAACTATTGGGACAACGAACGCATCGGGACAATCATCGAGAGCATCATCGGGGCACTCCCCGCGACAACCATCGGGGCAACCAACAGGACAATCATTGGAACAACCATGTATCACACACCTTCTGCTATCACGGTCTTCGTGTCGCAAGCTCCATCCGTTGGTGCAAACATCAATATGTCTGGCGATCGCAATGTCGATTCATCGGGAGAAACATCGGGATGACAATGGGAACAACGACGGTCATACATCTACCTCTCTAACTTTCTTTCGTTGACACTATCGGTGTTCCCAACTATCAACCTGTCTGTCGATCTCACCCATCTACCTGTCGTGGCAACAATCGCTGCTACCATCGACACAACCAATGGGATCCATCGGGGTAACAATCGGGACAAACGCTGGGCCAACTGTCGGGACAATCATCAGGCCACCCATCAGGTCAACCGTGCGCACAACCATCAGGATAACCATCGGGGTAATCATCGGGACAACAATGAAGACAACTATCGGGACAACCATGAGGACAACCATCGGGACAACACCATCGGGACAGCCGTGGCAGTGACCCGTTTTTGTGTGACTTTTGGACATGGGCGGCGGGGGAACTCGCCCGCACGCGCGCAACGCACGAAACGAAACGACGTTTCCTCCTCATTCTCCTCCCCGTCCACCTACCCATCCCCCTTCTTATCCTTTTTTCTCTCCTCCTTTCCCTCCTCCTCCTCCTCCTCATCATCATCATCTTCATTATGATCACCAACATTCGTACCCATGTTGGCTCACGTTCGAAACGTGCGTCCCTGGCGTTTCGAGCTTGGGCGCTGCCAAAGGGACGGCTCCAATTTACACCAGGAGTTCCTCCGAGCAGTTTCACGCGCGGTCCACTCCGCGCGACAGGCCTTTCAGTGGACCGAAGGAGTGCTCAGTTCTCGGCCACGCATTTTGCAGCAGCCATTCTCTCAGTAATCGTGGAAGGCGTTTCCGCGATGTTCGCCGAGTTGAAGGACTTGGTCACAGCAGTGAACGCAGCTTGGGCCCGATGCGTCGGGGGGGCCTAATTCTTGACGCTTCGCGTACAGTATCACCACCAGCACAACACGCCGTGTGCGCTTTCGCCCGCGGCCGCGACCAAACAAATCAGCCTGATGAAGGACCCGACCATATGCAGGTGTGAGTACCGCGATTGTGATTCCCTTTTTCGGTGGTGATCCCTATGAGGCAACGAACCGTGCTAGGGGTGTGCCGAAACGATTGGCGTGGTACACGACGCGAAGGAAAACGATTGATCTGAGTACGTAGGGAGACTGAGCGCGGGTGAATCTGAGCGCGAGTGCGTCTGACTGTGAATGAATCTGCGTGCGAGCGAGTCTACGTGCATGAATGCGAGTAAGCCATTGCATGGTGCAATTGTATATGAATGTTAATAGTTTGTGAGTGACTGCCTCTGAGTACTCGTGACGCTGGGCGTGGCCGCCGCAAGGAGCTTCCCCGGGGTTCCCTGACGGCATCGCCCGCGCGCCGCGACGCCACCGCGAGGATCGCGCCCGCTTCCTCCCCTTCTTTTGCTCCTTCTTTGCCCGCGCACTCAAAAGTCCAAAGCTGCGGGCGCAGCGCAGCGCGGAGTCCCAGCGACGCGCGCAGGTCGCCCCGGAGGGGTCCCAGCGACGCGCGCGGGGCGTCCGCCGCGCGCAACAAAAAGAGCTAGCTGGCTGGCTGATAGCGGGCAAGGCTCTTGCCGCTGGGCAGAGCGACGACGGGCGAGCGAGGCGCGGAACTCCGACGGCCTCCGGCGGAGGTGTAGTGGGTGGGGGGGACGCAAGCGGACTGCGCCACGGGGACCTTCGGTGGAGCTCCCTATGGGGTCATGAAACGTGAGAGGGATGTGCCGAAATGGGCGTGCGGGACGCATGCGGGCACGCACACTGGGACCTTCGGTTGGGCTCCCTATGGGGCCGCGGAACGTGTGAGGGATGTGCCGAAATGGGTGTGCAGGACGCATCTGGGCACACCCACTGGGACCTTCGGTGGAGCTCCCTATGGGGCCACGAAACGTGTGAAGGGTGTACCGAAATGGGTGTGCGGGACGCATGCGGGCACACCCACTGGGACCTTCGGTGGAGTTCCCTATGGGGCCACGAAACGTTTGAAAAGGTAAGCCGAAATGGGTGTGCGGGACGCATGCGGGCACACCCACTGAGACCTTCGGTGGAGCTCCCTGTGGGGCCACGAAACGTATGAGGGGTGTGCCGACATGGGTGCGCGGGACGCATGCGGGCACACCCACTGAGACCTTCGGTCGAGCTCCCTATGGGGCCACGAAGCGTGTGAGGGGTGTGCCGACATGGGTGTGCGGGACGCATGCGGGCACACCCACTGGGACCTTCGGTGGAGCTCCCTCTGGGGCCACGGAACGTGTGAGGGGTGTGCCGAAATCGGTGTGGCACGCATGCGGGCACACCCACTGAGACCTTCGGTGGAGCCCCCCTATGGGGCCACGAAACGTGTGAGGGGTGTGCCGAAATGGGTGTGCGGGACGCATTCGGGCACACCCACTGAGACCTTCGGTGGGGCTCCCTATGGGGCCACGAAGCGTGTGAAGGGTGTACCGACATGGTGTGCGGGGCGCATGCGGGCACACCCATTGGGACCTTCGGTGGAGCTCCCTATGGGGCCACGAAACGTGTGAGGGGTGTGCCGAGATGGGTGTGCGGGACGCATGCGGGCACACCCACTGAGACCTTCGGTGGAGCTCCCTGTGGGGCCACGAAGTGTGTGAGGGGTGTGCCGAAATGGGTGTGCGGGACGCGTGCGGGCACACCCACTGAGACCTTCGGTGGGGCTCCCTATGGGGCCACGAAACGTGTGAAGGGTGTGCCAAAATGGGTGTGCGGGACGCACGCGGGCACACCCACTGGGACCTTCGGTGGAGCTCCCTATGGGGCCACGCAACGTGTGAGGGGTGTTCCGAAATGTGTGTGCGGGACGCATGCGGGCACACCCACTGGGACCTTCGGTGGAGCCCCCATATGGGGCCACGAAACGTGTGAGGGGTGTGCCGAAATGGGTGTGCGGGACGCATGCGGGCACACCCAAAGGGACCTTCGGTGGAGCTCCCTATGGGGCCACGAGACGTGTGAGGGGTGTGCCGAAATGGGTGATGACGATGATGATGGTGGGAGGAGGAGGAGGAGGAGGAGGAGGAGGAGGAGGAGGAGGAGGAGGAGGAGGAGGAGGAGGAGGAGGAGGAGAGGAGGAGGAGGAGGAGGGGAGAGGGGAGGGGAGGGGAGGGGAGGAGAGGAGAGGAGAGGAGAGGAGAGGAGAGGAGAGGAGAGGAGAGGAGAGGAGGAGGAAAGGAGACGCGGGACCGTTTCTTCAAAACGAGGACCCAACACCACAGGATGGTTGGGAAATATCACCACCAGCGTTTGGGCTCTCCTTCTGAGCGGCTGCCCGCTCGCCCGTTTCGCTTGCCTTTCTTCTCCTGCTGCCTAGTCGCGGCCCGACTAGTGTTCGGACGGCTTTCGATCCGCCTCGCGAGCCTGTTGACCAAAATCATCACCACCAGCCTTGTCTTCGACGGCTTCGGCGTGTC